TAAAGTGGAAATCAATGAAAATACACAAAAAACTTTTAAAAATTAAAAAACAAAAGTTATTTCCTTGAAAAAAATCAATAAAATTGATAAAGTGAAAAGCAGAATGACAATTTTTAAAAGAATGAAAATATAAATTAACAATATCAGGAATAAAAGAGAGGACATCACTAAAGGCACAAGAAGAAACAGAAAATCCAAGTAGCCCTCTATCTGTTAAATAAATTGAATGCATAATTTTAAACCATTCTGCAAAGAAAACTCCAGTTCCAGATAGCTTCTATCAAATTTGAATTCTCTCAAACATTTAAGGAAGAAATAATACTAATCCTACAAAAGGTCTTTCAGAAAATAGAAGAAAAAGGAATTCCCAACTAATTTCATGAAGCCAGCAAAGCCATGACATCAAAACCAGACATTATAAGAAAATTACAAACTAAGATCCCTCATGGAAATAGTCATAAAAATACTTAAGCAAAATATTAGCAAAGTGAAGCAAGTAATGTAGAAAAAGAATAATATATCAAGATCAATTTTTCTCTATACCAGGAATGCAAGGTTGGTTAACATTTGAATATCAATCAGTGTAACTTAATATGTTAACAGAATAAAGGAGAAAATTCATATGACGCTCTCACTGGATGCAGAAAAAGCAGTTCACAAAATATGGTACTCATTCATGATAAAACCTTTCAGTAAACTAAGAATAAAAGGTAATTTCCACAAGTTATAAGGAACAGCTATGGAAAACCTATAGCTAATATCATATTTAATAGTGAAAGACTGGCAGTTTTCCCCCCAAGATTAGATACAAAGCAAGGACGTCAATCTTTACCACTTCTAGTTAACATTGTATTAGCTGTAACAGTTAGTGCAGTAAGGTGAGAAAAAGATATAAAAGCCACAAAGACTGGAAAAGAAGAAATAAAACTGTCTTTATTCACAGATGACATGACTGTGTATATAGAAAGTTCTTAGGAAAAATGAATATTACTAGAAGTAATAAATAATTTAGCAAGGTCACAGGATACAAGGTTACACAAAAATCAATTATATTTTTATATACTAGTAATAGTATATAAATGAAAATGAAAAAAAAAACCAATAGTGTTCATAATAGCATTAAGAAAACAAAATTCTTACAGATAAATTTAATAAAATGTGCAAGACCTCTTATTAAAAACTAAAAACTACTGCGAAGAGAAAGCAAAGAAGATTGAAATAAACAGAGAAATATACCATGTTCATGAACTGGAAAATTCGATATTTTGGAGACGTCAATTTTCCCCCAAATGATCTACAGATTTAACAAGATCCCAGTCAAAATCCCAGCTGACTTATTTGTAGAAAACACTACACTGGTTATAAAATTTATATGGAAGTGCAAAGGATCTATAATAACCACAGAGTTAGAAGATTCACATTGCTAGATTTCAAGACTTATTATATGGCTACATGGTACTGGTATAAGGATAGAAGAATAGATAACACAAGAGTCCCAAAAACAGACCTTATCTATACAGTCAGTTGATTGTTGACAAAGGTGTCAAAACAATTCAATGGGGAAAAGGCAAGTCTTTTAACAAATGGTGCTAGAACAACTGGATATCCACAAGGAAAAAAATTTAACCTTGAACATTTTCTCTCACCATACAAAAATAATTCCAGTTGGGTCACAGACCTAAATAGAAAAATGAAAAAAACTAAAAGCTTTCAGAAGAAAATATTTTGGAAAACAGTTTCGTAGTTTCTTATGAAGTAAAACAGACACCTACCCTGTGGCTCAGCAATTCTACTACTAGATATTTACCCAAGAGAAATTAAAACATATGCCCACAAAAAATATCTGTACAAAAATGTTCATAGCAGTTCTATTCATAATAACCCCAAACTGGAAACAAGCCAAATGTCCATCAACAGGAAAACAGATAACCAAATTTTGGCATATCTATATAAGGAAATTCTATACAGCAATGAAAAAGAATGAACTACTGATACATACAACAACATAGATGAATCTCAAAAACTTTATGCTAAACAAAAGAACCAGACACAAAAGAGTATGTTTCCTATGCTCCAATTTATATGACGTTCTAGAACAGGCAAAATTAATCTAAGGTAAAATAAATCAGAATAGTAGTTGCCTTGTCAGGAGGTGGGGAGAGAACAGGGAATAACTTGGAAGAGATATGAGAGAATTTCTGGGGTAATAAAAATGTTCTATATTTGATAGGGCTGTGGATCACATGAGTATATGCATTTATCAATAATCATTGAACTATATACTAAAGATCTGTGCATTTCTCTGTATGTAAATTATACCTCAATAAAAACATTTAAAAAACTGTTAAAAGTCACTGATCTACAATATTTAGCTGGGATAGGAATTTCTAGGTTATTGGGAATCTGCAAGCTGAACTTTATAAGACAAAATGGTTCCTCTTCTGGTTGTTGTATCCTCATTTACACCCAGAATATCAAATTTTTCCCAATCTGGTAGATGTGAAGTAGTATCTTGTTGTGCTTTTAATTTGCATTTCCCTGATTACTAATGAGATTGATCATCTTTTCTATAAATGTATGACCATTTGTGATTCCTTTTTTCCTGCAAAATGCCTCTTCCTAACTTTGACCATTGTTCTACTGCTTTGTTACCTTTTGTGTCTTAAGAAATCCCTCTCCACCCCAAGGTCATAAAGACATTGTTCTGCATTTGCTTCTAAAAATTTCAAACTTTTGCCTTTTACATTTACGTCTTTAATCCATCCGGAATTGATTTTTGTGTAGGGTATGAGGTAGGGATCCAATTTCATTTTTTTCTCACACAGATAACCAATTTTCTCAGAACCATCTATCTTTTCTCCAATGATCTGCAATGGCACCTGTGTTATATTGAGTTTCCATACAAGTGGGTCTGTTTCTGACTATATTCTATTCCTTTACTCTGGTTGTTTATCTATACAAATATCATGTTAATTTTGCTAGCATTATAATTTGTTTCAATACGTAGTAGAACAAGGCTTCCCCTTCTTTTTCTTCAGAATAGTTTGGCTATTCTCGGACCTTTGCTTTTCCACATAAATTTTAGAATCGACCGTCTAGTTCCTTGAAAAATCTATTAAATACTTGACCAATTAAAATCCAGTACTGATTGGTACTTTTACCCATTTCCAAGACAATGCAAAGACCTTAGAACAATTTACATTACATTTACCACCTTCTAATTTATAAGCTTTTGTTTTCATTAATTTTAATCCTTTATATATATTTAAACCACATAAAGCATTATTAGTGTTTTATACAATGTCCATTTAGATTTACCCATTTATTTACCATCTTTATTGCTCTTCATTCCTTCCTGCGTCTCTGACTTTTCCATCTAACATAATTTTCCTTCTGTCTCAATAATGTCTTGTAGTGTTTCCTTTAGAATAGATCTCCCAGTAATAAATTATTGAAGTCTTTGTTAGTCTTATTTCACCTTTATATCTGAAGGATATTTCCCCCAGGCATAGGATTCTGGACGGCAGTTATTTTCTTTTAATACCATAACAATACCAGTATACTGTCTTCTGGATTCAGTACTTTCAGTTGAGAAGTCAGTCATCACTTTAATCGTTGCCCCTTTGAATGTAATCTTTTTTTTTTTTTCCAGCAGCTTTTAAGATTTTATTCTTGTCTTATTAGGTATTTTATTATGAGGTGTCTAGGTATAGATTTTTTATTTATCCTGCTTTGGTTTTATAGGGCTTCTTGAATCTGTGGTGTGATTTTTTTTAATCAGTTTTGGAAAATTCTCAGCTATTATCTCTTCAAATATTGCTTCTGCCCCATTCTCTCTCTCTTTTCCTTTTGGAACTCCAATTACATGTAAGTTTGACCTTCTCACTCTAACTTATGCCTCGCTCTCTTTTCTGAATTTACTATCATTTTGTCTCTTCATTGATCTGGATGGTTTCACCTTCCAGTTCACTAATTATTTATTCTAATCTGCAGTTAGGTCTATCCATTGAGTTCTAAATTTCAGTTATTGTACTTTTCAGTTCTATAATTTTTATTTGGTTCTTCCTCAAATCTGCTCTGCCATTTTATGGTTTCCAATGCTCTGCTAAAAAACTCCAATCTTGTCTTTTATATCCTTGATTACAGCAAGCAAAAGTATTTTACAGTCTGTGTCTGTTACAGCCAGGACCCAGCTGGAGCTAACCTGTGAGAGTGTTTATAGTCTGTTATGTATGCTATTTCTTGTTGTTAGCACCTTACCTCCTTTTGCCTGGTTATCTTTAATTGAAAAGTTTCTCACAGTGTCAAAGAAATGTTTGTAGAAATAATATGAGGTACCTGGGAACACTGGCAATCCAGGATCACTTTAATTCAATTTCAGGGACTAAGATTTTCTGGATTACTCTAATAACCTAGAGTAGAGTTGTAATCTGGGTTGTTTTCCTTCTTGTTCGCCGTTACAAAGCATTCAGAGCACAGGAGATTTACTAGGGTTCCTACTCTTGGTAGGCCCTGGATTCTAACTTGAATGTCCTTAGCCCCATGAGGACAGCTGTCAAAAGTGTTATTTAGTCTCTCAACTGACTCCTCTGGAATCAGAAACACCCTCAGAAGGAAGCGGCCTGAAATGTCAGGCCAACCTCTCTGGATTTAAGTCTGCACACAGATTTTGAATTGGTGATGTTTCATCACCTTGTTAATTCTCTAATACTTTTGTATATCTTTTCTTTCTTTTCTTTTCTTTTTTTTTCTCTCTCTCTTTTCCTTCCTCCCTCCCTCCTTCCCTTCCATTCCTTTTAATATTCTATCCAGTTTTTCTTGTTTTCCTCTACAGAAAGGTTGGTCCAAATGACCTAGTCTGTATCACTGTAAGAGGAAATCTTCTATATTACAGCTTTATATTCTACTTTACTTAAGATTATAATATGACAATTTTCCCATGACATTAAATATTCTTCAAAAAAATATCAAATTATATTTCTTATAGAAAATATGTTCACCTGTTGTTCTAGGATCATATTCTTCTCTCGTTCTACGTTGAGAACCATTCTCTTTGTATATTCTAGTTGCTTCTCTAGAAGAGTACAGCGAGACTGGGCTGAGCTTAATTGTATACTTATATCTATAAAAAAGAAAAAGTAACAATGAGTTAATTAGTTGATTATCACATAGATCAGAGAGTCGGTTATCACAAGAAATGCATTATATGAATTCAATCAAGAGCTAAAAGTCCAAGGCTTCTTTAGGTCTACATACTGACTCTCCCTGAGATATGAACATACATTTTGTGCCTATCTCATTAATTGTATGTAACTGGTTTAACATTAACTCCTCTAAAGACCCAGAGGGCGTACATCCGAAAGGGGAAGATATCAGTGACTTGTGGGATGATAATAATCCTGGCTGTTCCTGGGAAATGACACTATCTGGAAAAATAGAGAACCTAAAGTCTCTTCCTTATCAATACATTTCTTCTCTTTCAAGAAACTCAGGTATATGCATTCTACACCATTCCCATTTTCCTCTGCTCTTGACTACTAGCAGCACAGTTAATTCCATAAGGTGTAAGCAACCTCTTTCTAATCCTTGAAGTTTTCACTTTCTTCAGCTCTTTCTTCCACTTTTGTCTAAATATTTCAGAAAAATTTTTCTCCCCGTTTCTTCATTCTATTGTAAGTTGAAACACAAATTTGAACCTTGTTTATGAGGGTGAGTGTAGTGCTACAAGGAAAAACAAAGCCATATGTTTTGAAGTGAAATTATATAACAAACTTATGTTTTAAATCTCTAAAATTTGTGTCCAGATGTCCTTTTCATAATTTCCATAGAAACCTCCACCTACTTGTCCATTTCCTCTAATTAACGTGTCACGTTAAATAAAATTTTTTATTCATTTTTATTGTTTTTATATTGTTTAATTACTAGTGTTGCCTTACATTTTCAAATTTTAAAAACCAGTGTTAACTGAAATATAAAGTATTTCAATTATATTATGGGTTAAAATGGATTTTGTTGGTATCCTGAAAATATTCTAATTTCTAAACACAACTTGTCTAAAGCTTCATTTTTCTTCTAATCTCAAGAATTCATGAACGGGGATAACAATTAGATATAAGAGGTAAGTTCAAAGTTATATCCATTTCCTGCAACTATCAAAATGTCTAAGAACAAGGCCTCAAGGTTTGAATGTATGTAAGAACAAAGATATTTGAGTAAGTCTGCTTAGACTGGGCCTATTATTTTCAAACTGTAAACTTTGGTAACCTCTTGTTTCTGAGAACTATTGAATTTTCTTACCTTTTTTCTGCTTTATCAGTTCCTGGTGTGCCAGATTTCTCTCATTTGTTTCATTCTCCAAGGCCTTTTTATACTGTGCCGCTTCTCTGGAAAGAATGTTCAGGTTATCTTCAGCTTGTGTTCTTTCTAACTCTAAACGATGAATCTTTTCCTGAAGAGTTTTTAAGGCTAAAATAAGAGCTGTTGAAAAAAAATTTGTTTAATATTTTAAGTGAGAATTTTTGAGCACTTACAATCTTAGTAGCATATAAAAATGAGCAGTATATTTTTGCTAGTGAGCCAGAAAAACATACAAGTAATGTATATTCCTCATAAAAATGAAAAATATGACTAAAAGTCTAAAGAGGAACAAATTTTCTCTAACATATCTTGTAAAAACAATATATTTATGATTGTATTTAGTGATTTTTCTAGATTTAAGAAAGCCAATAATCACAATTTAATTTAACAAAATAAATATTTTCAAATTAAAAGACTAAAAAAGGATAACATATAGTCTAGGAGGCATAAGAGTCTGAGTATGCATAAAGAAAATTAAAATATAGTGTCCACTAATTAACATGAAATTTTGGTTTAAAGTTTTTTCTCAGTTCTTGATGTGTTCAGTTTTAGTCAAGCCACAAACATTTATTGTTTATTTGTCCAAGATACAGTGTTAATAATTAGGATATATGAGGTAGAACACAATTTTTTCCACTGGAAAAAAATCATAACCCAGTTTTTACCTGATGTCAGGTTTGAAAGATTATAAGTAGTACACATGTATTACTATGATTTTTATTCAGCTATATCAATATCTTCGTGATTCAGATAAATTCAGAGTTATAAAATTTACAAATATTATCTTACACTTTCTATTCAGTTACATCTTCAAACTATAAAACTAGAGAAGAATGGAATATAAATAAATGTTATAGGTTAACTTTCATATAGTTTATATCCAATTAGAAAGATGTTTGCTAGAGATTATCGTTTTTTTTACAAATGAGATAAACAAATTATATTTATTGCTCTTTATATGGTACCTGTAGCTGGCTCATCTATTTGGATTATTATTTCTTGTGGTTGTTCTACTCACAAAGCTAGTCTATTTATTAATGGCAACCATTACTATAGAGTATTAAAAAATAAGGTGATAATCAGCATCTTAGAAAGTAATTTTTATGACATAGGCATGCCTGCAGTCATAAAGGTTCTCCTAATTCAATTTTAAGATCCTTCTAAATTTATATTTTAAAAGTTATAATACTTGTATTTTGTGGTTACTCCAATGTACCTGCTTCCTAAAGAATTTTCAAGGATAATTTTAGATATATGCAATTTCTGAATTTAATCCTCGAATAAGATACAACTCTACTTAATTTACTAGCATTCTAATCATCTAGTTTAGAAGGATTCTAAATCTGATCTTTTATTCTTCAAAAGGCACTCTCCTATTTTATAATGATATTTTTATGATAAACCTGTAATATGTGTCTAGCTGGTTATATTAATCTTCATCTTATAGCTGAAGAAGCCAAAATAAAAAATATTAAATAACTTATGTAAGTTTATAGAAACTTTAAACAACAGAGTAAAAATGAGTAGTCTTATTAAGATTAGTTAAATACACAATTATATTATTTTCCACATAAAAATGAAAAGTTTTATATAACAAACTTCGTACCATTCCCCTAATTTTAAGTAAGAATTTACACTAGCATTACCTTGGCTATTTGGACTATGAAGCATTTTAGGAGAGGTAACTTCTAAGTTCACAGAGTGGTGAGTCTGAGTTGATTCATCATTCTGGGTAAATGATGGAACAAATACTCTTTCTGGAGGTTTAAGATAGCTTCCTACTATACTATGCATTAATTCAGGATCCATTATCTGTAGAGAATAAAGGAATGATATAGCATAGCATCATTCTTTCCTATTTGAATGACAAAAACATTAGATAAAAATTCAGGTGAAAGCTTAACATAAATACATAATCACATACTGTGGATTTGTATCTTTATGAAGTCTATTATCACAAATTCAACTATAATAGGCTCAGCAATAAAAGAAAGAAAAATGACTATTTACTGTACAAATAGTATGGATAATTCTGCCTGATTTACAACAAGCATATGCCCCGGAGTGACCATCACATGAGTGGCATAATTTTGCTGGTTTCTCAGTTGATCAAAAGTTCATGTACCTCTCAACGTCTGAGCACTCTCTACAGTGTGACTCTAGGGTTCAAAGAGAAAGTACATATTCTAAAAGACAACATAGCTTTGAAACACAAGCCAATCATAAAATCTGATTCTCTAAGATTGACTGTTGAACTCTAAGGTACTGGATTGTCAAGGGTAATTTTGGATATATCAATTTCTGAATCCAACCCTTGAGTAAGACACAATTCCACTTAATGCATTAGCATTCTAATCATCTAGTTTAGAGGGGTTCCAAAGCTGAAGAATCTAAAATAGCTTTATTTTGTCATTCTGGGCTTTTTTTCCTTTGGTTTTTTATTTGTTTGTAGGAGAGATTTTTAACCATTTTAGCAGGTAATTTTTTGTCTAACTTTCCTAAATCATTTTATTCTCCTTTCTGTAATTTAAATATTTTAGAAATCCAGTATTCTACTTAATAGATTCTACTTAATGTTAATTAAATTAATTCATAACCACATTGGAAGAAACAGGGTAATAACTGTTCACCCAAAAACAATTCACCAGAACAATTTTAAGAAAGAAATCTTGTTTTAAAATGTGAATTTAGGGGCTGGCCTGGTGGCATAGTGGTTAAGTGCTCACGCTCTGCTGCGGCGGTCCAGGGTTCGCAGGTTCGGATCCCGGGCGCACACCAACACACCGCTTGTCAAGCCGTGCTGTGGCGGCGTCCCATATAAAGTGGAGGAAGACGGGCATGGATGTTAGCCCAGGGCTCATCTTCCTCAGCAAAAAGAGGAGGATTGGCAGTGGATGTTAGCTCAGGGCTGGTCTTCCTCACCAAAAAAAAAATTAAAAAAAAATAAAATGTAAATGTAGAATTCCATGATATAATTAGCCTATTTTAATTTTTGAGAATTGCAAATTTTCAGTGATTTCACTACCTTCCCAATTCACAAGGAAAAGGAAGACACTTCCATTACTGTATTTCCTGGGAGGGCAGAGAACACACTTCACTCAATAGGATTTTCTGCTTTAGCTATTGTCATGATTGGCTGTCTTCCAGGACATTCTGATTGGTCTAAATTAGAGGTTATATAGCCTAGGAAGCTTTGCTACAATATTTGATGCTCTTTACTCTTAAGAGGTAATCACAGTTTGCTATTGTTATTAGTACCAGCTACCATGTACTAACCATGTCTCCATCCCTCTGAGTTTTTGCTGCTCAGACACTGTCTGCTTCCCATGGGAGACTACATCTATCTAAGTTGCTGTCCCCTCAAAAAACAAGAGAGTAAAGTTAGTGACAAGTAGCTCACAATGAAGCAGAGGCAGAGCCCCAAAGTACAGAAGTTCTGAACATGTTTGCACATCTTCAGAGGGAGGCATGTGGTTGAAGCTACCCCAAGAACACTGGAGTTACTCAATATACATGATTCAGTTTTCAGCTCCTAGAGTTTCTCCAATAATGAAAAGAATGAAATTTTGCCATTAGTCACTATACATTGAAGTCCTTGGGAAGACTCTGTCTGCTTCCTCTGTTCCGAATATAATATTATTTTACAAACTGAATTTTACACCAATTAAAAACAGGTTCAAATTTGGGGGTTTTAATGTATATGAAATGACTACTTAGAAGATGCCAATAAGTTAAAAATTAGACTAAAGTTTATTTAAATTAAATGTGTAAACACATCTTAAAGTGGGCACAAGCAGAGTAACAACCCACCGGTAGGATGAAAATAAGGTGAAGAAAAAGAAATAGTAAAGAACTGAGCGAAGACAAGCTACGATGTGACATGGAGCTCAGGGGTTCTCATTGTAACAGGGGTCCCAGCTTAACCCTTACAATCTAGTCCTGTATTACAAACAAGTGCATAAGCCCACTAGAAGCTTATCTACATAGAGAACTGAGGCATCCTAGGAGATAAATTCACTCTGACGGAGGATGAAAGAAATACAAAAAGCTTGATCCAAAATCAAAGCTTTACTTGGTGGAGGAGCGGAGGAGTCATTCTGAGTAGAGTATAGCGGCGGTCATTCTAATTCTTCTCTGACCCAGTCCCATGGACTCATACGTGGTGTTGGGAAGAGAGAGGGCTATACGTAAAAACTGAGAAATATTTCACTGATATCTCCATAAAATTTGAGGCATTAGCTGCTCTACTTTCTATAAGATGTTATATTCTAATGAAGGGGGAAGGTGCAAGAGAACACTAACACAGTTTTGGCACTTTGGGGGTTCTGGTGCATTGGTAACATTGTTCAACAAGAGAGAGAGAACAGCTGGAAAGGACATATTCATGGGCATGTATGAGAGAAACATCTGGAGAAAAATTTCTGAAAATACAGAGAGGTACCTAAGCTTCAACCTTCAAGGATTCTGGCACATCTGGTATAGGGCCTACCTGTAGTAACTGAAATCACCTCAGAAGTTCTTGTGCGGCATTTTAGAGGTATCTGCAAGTGGGGGCAAAAGGCTGTAAAACATTGGCCTTATTTGTATCAACAGCCTGGTAAAGCTCAGGGAAACTCAAGTTATGCCCGGAAGCATTCCTGACAGCTTGTAAACAACCAGGAAAATTATCATTGTCTCTATGGTGTATAAAATTAAGAAACCTTAATTGCCTTAAGGAGCCACTGCATAAAGCAACTATCCCCCCAAAAGAATGTGACAGACACAAATACTTTACTGCAAAGCATTTTCACTTGCTCTTGAGGAAAGCAATTGTCTCAAAATGGTCCTTTTTAATAAGCAATGTCCCTTCCTGCTGGTGGCTGACTGTGCCTTTATCTTTGCATAATCCCACAGGACTATTATCGAGACAGTGTTAGGAGGCAGTCAGAGGTACTACAATGGGTTCTTGGAATGGGGGATTCTGTTTCCTATACTGCTAATTCTTTCAAGTTTGGATTTTTCCTTAGAGAAACTGGAGAAAGATCAACAGCTCTGTTTCTTGTTCTGGTTTTCTCTGGTTTGTTTAAGAGCAAACACAGTAAAGGCTGGACTAACCCTATTTTATTTTTAATGGATAGTACTTTAAAAAGTACTGTTACAACTGAGTAAGATAATTTTTGGTTAAGGAAGTTGCCTTATAGATGCTCTAATAGATATTACAACCTATTACTTATAATATATAATAACTAAAATGTTAAGATAGTGATATAAAAACCAACTGGTCAATGGTAACTAGTAAGTACAAGAATATAAATACTTCCATGTGATTCAACAAATGATTCTTTGTTGTTCATTCAATAAATGATGTTAGAAAACTAGCGGGAAAAATTCAGTTTAACCTTTATCTCACTCCTACATCAATACAAATTTCAGATACAGTACAGTCAAATTTTTTAAAAAACTTTAAAAATTATTTTAAAAAATCAGTGAACAGTTAAAATAATCTTAGAAGGGGTAAGATGCTTTATGTTTAAAAGCAGGAGAAAAATAAAGGAAAAGATATAAAGGCTACATTAAAATTCATACTACAACATATACAATTATGAACAAAATTGAAAGGCAAAAGAAAAGCAGAAGAAAATATTTGCAATGGTTAATATCGTTAATATAGAAAGAGCTTTTATAAATTAGAAGAAAAATACACCATAATAAAGAAAAGGCCAATGATTACAAATCATCAATTCATAAAAGAATGTGGCCAATAAACAATAAATCTTAGCAATATTCAAAGAAAAGCAGTTATATCCAGATATAAAGGTAACTTTTGGAGTTTGACCTCAGTTCAAAGCCTGGATCTCCCACATACTATCTTTCTGACTTTCAAAAAAACTTTTACTCTTCTGGGTCTCAATTTTCTTCTCTACATAATTAGGATAGTAATATCTGAAAGGGTGCTATAATTAAACAAAATGAGATAACATATAAAGCACTTACAATTTATGTCTGCAAAGTATGCACTTTCTGTAAGCAAAATATGTACTTGATAAATGGCAGCAATACTTACTTTAAAGGAAAACATATTTATTTTAAAAGAAAACGAGGAAATGTCATTCTTTACATTTCAAACATGCAAAGTTCTTTTAAGGGCAAGAAAATATGCATACACTGCTGGTAGGAATATAAATTGATATCACTTGTTTTGAAAGCAATTGAACAGTATATATTGAGAGCCTTAAAAAGTTCATGTTGTTGGGTCAGTAATAATTATAGGAATCTATACTAAAAAAAGAATCAAAGATGTGCACAAAGATTATGAGAAAGATCATCACTTCAGCGTTAACTTATAATATCAAAAATTTTGTCTTTGTTACCTCTTTTTCTCTCACATCCATCAGGAATCCATCAGGATTACATGCTACTTCTACCTTCAAAATATATCCACTATCTGACCATTGGCCTATGTCACCACTTCTACCCTGGATTATTATAAAAGCTCCCTTCTTGTTCCCCTGTAACATATTCTTCACATAGCAACCAGATGAGCCTAATTTTAACATAATGTCACATCATGTCATTCATCTGCTCAAAACCCTCCCAATGGCTTCCTATCTCACTCAGAGAAAACGCCCAAGTTCCTACAGTGGTTTACGAAGCCATATATGAACTGGGTCCCCCACTTTCCACCTCTCTGACTCCTTCAGTCTTCCTCTCGCTCAGCCCTCTCTAGCTCCACATTGTCCTCTCTCCTGTTCTATAATAAATGAAACATGCTCCTGCCTCAGGATTTTTTACTTCTGGTTCCCACTGCCTGGAATACTTCTCCTTCAGATATCTGCATGGCTTATTCCCTCACATCAGGTCTCTGCTCAAATGTCACCTGCTCAAAGAGGCTTCTGCTGACCATTCTTTATAAAACACTAATCCTATTTCTCCTCCCCAGCACTTTCTATCTGCCTTCCTCTGCTTTTTCTCCATTGTATATAAAATTGTTTGTCTCCCCACTGCCAACTAGAAAGTAAGATCCACGAGGACAGAGGCTTTGACTGATTTGTTCCCCACTCTATATATAAGGCCCAGAATCATGCCTGGAACAGAGAAGGTATTCAAAAAATACTTGCTGAATAAATAAATATCCAAAACTAGTAAATAACTCACTAAATAACAATCATATATTGAAATATTATACAGTCATTAAAAGTTACATTTTTGAAGTCATGATATGACTGATAAAAAGTAGAATATAAAGCTATAAAAAATTATGATTTTATCAATAAAATCAACATAAGCAAAAACAGAAATATACACACAAATATATTATTTTTACAAACAAAAGAGAAAAGTTTTAAAAAATTAACTTTATTAAAAACAAAGAGTTTTTCCTATACTTCTAGAATTCAACCTAAGAAAATAATCAAAGATATTACAATGTTTAAAATAAAAAAGGCTTTAGAAGCAAACTTCTTTGATTCAAACTGAAGCTCTGCTCTGCGACCTTGGGCCAAATATTTAACCTCTCTATGCCACAATTTCCTAATCTGCACATGAAGATTAAAATGGTATCTTAACATAGAAGGCTGCTCTAAAGATTAAATGAGATAAAGTACTCAGAAAGATGCCTGATACATAGTAAATGTTTAATGAGTGTTAGCAATGATTAGATTTAAGGGTTGAGAGAGAAGAAGGATTCAAAGATAATTCTTAGGTTATCTAACTTGGCAACTGGGTAGATGTTAGTTTAACTAATTTATAAAGAATTAGTACCCAAAACATCCAAAGAATTCCTACAAATCAAAAAGGAAATATAAAACACAATAGAAAAAATAAACACAAGGGGCACTTCCAAAAAAGAAAATATGAATGGCTCATAAATATACGCAAGGATGTTCAACCTCAGTAGTAATCAGGGAAATGCAAATTAAAACCATATATTAGCGTTTCATACCCAACAGTTACATAAAATTTAAAAGTCTGACAATACCAAATTTGGAGATGATGTAGAACTATGGGAACTCTAATAAATGTTGGCATATAAACTGGTACAATCTAATTTCAAAACAATTTAGTATTATGTAATAAAATTGAATCTATGCATATATATACACACACATATATACACACAGATAGATAGATAGCTATTACAGTCTAGTGAATATATCTTTGAGAAACTTTACACATGGTCACAGGAAACACCTTAATAAGAAAATTTGTAACAGCACTGTTTGTAATAGCAAAAAATTAGAAATAACCCAAACGGATAAACAGATAAACTGTGGTATATTAACACAATGATCTACTATATGGCAAAGAAAATGAACAATCTATGGCTATAGATTTCAGTAAGGATGAATCTTAGAAAGTTGTTGAGGAAAAAAAGCAAGTTGTGGGCCGGCCCCGTGGCTTAGCGGTTAAGTGCGTGCGCTCCGCTACTGGCGGTCCGGGTTCGGATCCCGGGCGCACACCGACGCACCACTTCTCCGGCCATGCTGAGGCCGCATCCCACATACAGCAACCAGAAGGATGTGCAACTATGACATACAACTATCTACTGGGGCTTTGGGGGAAAAAAAAAGGAGGAGGATTGGCAATAGATGTTAGCTCAGAGCCGGTCTTCCTCAGCAAAAAGA